GTAACTGCCTCCAGTTGATCATTCCATTCTAGTTTCTCTAGTTACAAGTAACTGCCTCCTAGTTGATCATCCCATTCTAGTTTCTGTAGTTACAAGTAACTGCCTCCTAGTTGATCATCCCATTCTAGTTTCTCTAGTTACAAGTAACTGCCTCCTAGTTGATCATTCCATTCTAGTTTCTCTAGTTACAAGTAACTGCCTCCTAGTTGATCATCCCATTCTAGTTTCTCTAGTTACAACTAACTGCCCCTTAGTTGATCATCCCATTCTAGTTTCTCTAGTTACAAGTAACTGTCTCCTACTTGATCATCCCATTCTAGTTTCTCTAGTTACAAGTAACTGCCTCCTACAAGATTAACGACCAATCAACACTTCCCCCAGTCCGATACAACTTTAATCTACCTCGGTGTTTCAGTAACACCAATGACATCTCTATACGTACACAATCATCGATTAGATCAGAGAGGTCTAAGCTGGGAGGCAGGTACCTATAAGAGGCTAGGACTAGTGGAATGGGTGGCACCTCGCCAGGGGTGGCAAAGACTAGAGGTATGAGAGGCGCATCAACAATAGAGGGGTGGGGGGGGGGGCAAGATTATCTGTATGTGAGGTGCTTACCGAGGGGAGGTTAGAAGACACATAATTTAACAGTAATGTACAAGATATATATATATATATATATATATATATATATATATATATATATATATATATATATATATATATATATATATATATATTCAAAAAGCAAAATTATCATGCCATATGTCATTGTTTAATATGTGTAATAATTTTTTAATTCGTTTTAAAAATAAAATAAGATAGTAGTTTCCCTTCTTAAAAAGATTATTTTACCAAGGGAAACAATTACCTTAAGGCCTTACAATACAGAAAATTGAAGTTGTGACAAAGTAAAATATTAGTCATTATTAGGTGTTATATGAAGTATACAAATTGGAACATTTTATATTAATAATAGAAAAAAAGTAAACGTAATGACATTTTTTTAAAAATGTAATGACTCTATTTTAGATAGAAAAATATTAGCTTTACAAAAAACTGAATTTTAAGACTTCTGGCCGTACGCTTTCATCAATGTTTAGCACATGATAGTGAATGTACAGTTTTTCTTTAATCCCAAATTTATTGCGTCCCAACGTAAAAGCCCAAAGCCCCAAACCCACCAACCGATGGAGGAAAAAATTCCATGAATCATCATATAGTTACACTATGTATAAGTAAACCAACTTAAATGAATGAAAGTAGGCAACATGTAAGAAATAATTATTTTAACTTGTATCTGTCCACAAAAGCCGAAGATAAAAATTGTAATACTAAACCGAACATGCAAGGCAAACTGACGCTGTCAATTACATGTTTGAGGTGAAAAAAAAAAATTGTTTTGACTTAATTTTAAATAGAAAAATATTTGCTTTACCGAAAACTGAATTTTAATACTTTAGACTCTACGTTTTAATCCATATTCCATACAGTTGAACAAAGTATCTAAAGTATTCTAAAGCATATTAATTAGAAAACCAGAGTGAATAAAGTATTTACAATACTGAGATGCTTAGATGGAGAAAAGAGAGCATTGTTCCCGATTAATACACTGAAATGTACTGTATTTATTTGGTAGCGAGGGGGAGGGAGGGGGCGGGGGGTGTGGACCGCACCGGGTGACATCATTTAGGGGGTGACACCAAGGCGAAAAATAGCAAAATATATAGAGAAAAACTTGAGGGGGGGGTTGCAAATCGAAAGTTTGAGGGAGGGGGGGTGCAAATCGAAAATTTGAAAGTTTGTCCCCGAGAAGGGTCGCTACGCCTCTGGGGGGTGACAACATTAAGTGCCGCACCGGGTGACACCCGACCTCGCTACGCCACTGACCCCATTTTTATTGCGCAAACTTTCATGCAAATGTTGGTGTGTTAATATTTTATGTCTTGCAGATTGTACAATAGATGAAATTAAGTAAAGTTTAATGCACGTTAAGATATGTTTTGTTTGTTTTTTTATACCTGGAGTTTCATTTTGACAGCTTTTTGTTGAAAAGTAGAATAATTATTTATTTTTTTACTTTTAGTTAATAGATACACCAATTAGTGTTGCAAGGGGAGGGGGGGTATTTAAAAATAATTTTATTATTAATGAACTAAGATCGATTCCAACCACACACAAAATGTGGGAACAAAACTAAGCTAAAGAGTGTGAATTTACATGACATTGTGATGTGTTTTAACGTCTTAAATCGAAGAATGTGTTTCTGTATCATCTGGTTTCTTCCAACCCAGCAGAAAAGATTCCGAATATACCATACGCTGCCAGAATTAAAATAAATATTTAACCAACGACTTTTATTAATTAATGAATCTCCCCCCCCCCCCCCCCCCTAATCAATATTTGATCGTCTGAGATGGGGCGCTAAACCAACCAATCATGGCGGTATCGATACTAAACCAGCAATAATTCGCCCTGGGCGAGATCACAGACCTCAGATGTCTCGCGACTTGATTGCCCCCCCCTCCCCCTCCCCTCCCTACACCCCATTCTCGACAGTTAGAACCCCCAATCATCCTGGGTAATTACTGTTCAGGTCAACCCCCCCCCACCCCTTACCACACCCCACCCCTACGTAACCGAGTCGTCAAATTAACTTGTAACATGAATTTTTAATGCGCCCGGTACCGCGGACTGCCGGGTGTAATAACTTTAACCGGATTAGGGCGGCCGGTGGGAGCTGGACGCGCGCGGCCCGGGGGAGTCGGGCAGCTTAGTTAACCCACACAGTGCACGTGTGAGCGCTCTAAATAAAGTTAAGCACACAGATATTTGACGTCAAGCGAGGAGCGGCAAGAGCAATCAGTCTTGAAAATACACCATACTATATATCATACATACATACACACACATACACATATAATATATATATATATATATTATTTATTTATATTTATATCTATATATATCTATCTATCTATAAACATGTATATATATATATATATATATATATATATATATATATATATATATATATATATATATATATATATATATAATTATATACATATGTATAGATAGCTATATATATATATAAATATATAATTTTATATATATATATATATATATATATATATATATATATATATATATATATATATATATATATATATATATATACATATAATTATATACATATGTATAGATAGCTATATATATATAAATATATAATTTTATATATATATATATATATATATATATATATATATATATATATATATATATATATATATATATATATGTGTGTGTGTGTGTGTGTATGTTATTGTGTCTGTGCATTTTCACGCCAGTGTGTGCATGTGTGTGTGTGGGCGTGAGTGTAAAAAAGCGCACATTAATCATTTTACATAAGCGGTTGACGTAAGCGTGTATACATCCGAGTATGTGTGCAGTGTTTCTTCCAGACTTTTTTCTCCGGGGGGGGGGGGGGCATTTGACATGTTCGGGGGTGGGGGGCGGTAGACTTTCTTCGGGAGGGGGTGGGGGGCGGACACTGTTATATTTTTCAATATAAATTATATAAATTACATTTGGTCAAGGGGGCGATAGAATTTTTTCGGGGGGGGGGGGGCCCAAGAGATGCCTGGAAGAACATCTGTATGTGTGTTCGTGTAAGTGTCGCGGGTGTGTCAGCACTAGCACACGAGAAGAAAACGTCACCACCTTGTACTTTGTGTATGAGGGTATGCACGCAGTCTGTAAACATCCGAACCCTACGTGTTTACACCATATCAAAAGCTCATCGCATCATTAATCAAGGCAAGGTTACTACCCGCCGACCACGTGACTTCCTGTCCACGCCCGGGCCATTGTCCTCCGTGTGTTGTTCAACCCCATAGAGGACTCAGCTGGAGTTCTGGAGTAAAAAAAAAAAGGAAAAAAAAAAACGTTGTCTCCCTTTATAATCAGCAATATGACAAGTTCACACCTGCTTTCTAGAATGATCGATTTTTTTTTACTTTTTGTTTTTAAATATTTTTTTATACTTGTTAAATTTAAAAACAATCTATTGTTATATTTTCAACAACACTTTGATTGAACTTGACGATTTGATTCAATTTAGTGCAGAAATGTTTGCTATACATTGCCTGTGGGATATTTTGTTGTACAATCTTCACTCCTAACTTGCCTGATGAAATAGGGCTGGTGAGTAGGTCACCAACCAGTTCTACGGCTCAATAAAACCTGCATGAGCCATAGAACTGGTTGGTGACCTACGTACCAGCCCTATTGTCACGCGCGATATTGACAATGTAGTAATATAGACGTTTATTTTGTGACGTAATGCATCTATTGACTTGCATAACCCTGTAGCGTAACAAGGTGGGGTCGGGAAGTGTGTGCCACACCGGGGGGATATTACTAACAAGGTGACACCAATTAACAAAATTTAAAATTTACAGAGAAAACTATGTATTTTCTAGTTGAAGTAAAGTAATAGTAGTGGGAGAGGGATTGACATCGAAAATCAAAAGTGAAAACTGTTCGACAGGGGAGGGATGGCTCCCTAATTTACCGCACCGAATGTCACCCTACCTACTAATGCCACTAAACTTGTCCACTCTACGTTCATATTGTCACGTGTTTTGTTGATCGTGTGGACCAACTGTCCACTATGTGTTAATCTATTATCTTACAACTGTCCACTATATGTTAATCTATTATCTTTCAACTGCCCACTATGTGTTAATCTATTGTCTTACAACTGTCCACTATATGTTAATCTATTATCTTACAACTGTCCACTATATGTTTATTATCTTACAACTGTCCACTATATGTTAATCTATTATCTTACAGCTGTCCACTATATGTCAATCTATTATCTTACAACTGTCCACTATATGTTAATCTATTATCTTTCAACTGCCCACTATGTGTTAATCTATTATCTTACAACTGTCCACTATATGTTAATCTATTATCTTACTTTACAGATCGTGTGGACCGACCAACTCTCTACTATACTCACGTACGAAGATCGACGTATCATCGATGACGAGCGGGTGAGCGTAGAGCGACCGTTCATGAAGGACTGGAACCTGCACATCCGTGACGTCAAGATCAAAGACCAGGGTCTCTACAGCTGCCAGATCAACACACATCCGGTCAAGATTAAAACCGTTTATTTAACGGTGCAAGGTCAGTAGATTGGGTGAAAAGGGATTTGGGGACTTTGTCTATTATTGTCATCGTTGGAGAGGTATTGGGTGTGTTGTCTACGTAAATTTAAAAATACGACTGATAAAGTGCTTTATCCACTTAAATTTAACAAGAGTCAAGTTTTGGTTCATTGCCCAATTAAGTTTAACAATATGACAGATACGGTGCTTTGCCTATTAACAACAGTATAAGAGGGTCGTCCATAAATGACGTCACACTCGTAGGGGGGAAGGGGTCCGTAATTTTGTGACGGTGTGTTATGAGGGGGAGGGGGGGGGGGTTCAGTTGGTGTGACGTCACACTTTTGAAGTAGAAAAAGCAATGTTAGAAAACGATTTTTAGCCGTTATTTTGCATTTTAAAAAACGGTTGTAATCAATTCTAATAGGAATTGATTTAAATACACTATGTTGACAGAGTTTTTGGAAAAATATCGGTTTAAAGAAAAATTTAACTGCAATTTTGAGGGTGTTGTCGGCTGAGGTGTGACGTCATTTTAGGGGGGGGGGGTCTGGCTTTTTGTGACCTTGTGTGACGGAGGGGAGGGGGGGGGGAGGTAAAAATCGTCAAAAAAAGCGTGACGTCATTTATGGATGACCCTTAAGGTGGTGTGAGGGTAGGTGAGCCTACCTAATAGTATGCGGTGAGTGTTTCGGAAAATTCTGTAAAAGTCGCCGTGTATCTCTAATTCTGGTTATTTTGAGGTAAAGTTAAATATTTGAAGTATGTGAAAAATACTATAGTGCATTTTTAACTAACACTAAACTACTTTATGGAGCTCAAATATGGGTTCAAGTCAGTAAAACCTCCTTGAGTCCACCAAGCTCTGCTGAGCTCCTAACTCACGTTAGTGAGTGTAAAGGCGGCTGGACAAAGTGCTGACCACACTATCCCTTCATACGCCGAGGTCATTGAAACAGATGCACTCTAATTCGTCTGCTCCGTGTGTCTTGGGCACAAACAGGAAAAGATGATGATATTCATTTTTAATTTACGTTCATTGTCATTTTTAATGCAAATATTTGATTAATTATCAGTCATCTTTTTAAAAATAATTTTTATTTACTGTTACTAAGAAATAAAAAAGGAGTCAATGTTTGTGTATATTCCGATTTACATTAACTAGCATTATGTCAAAATGTTATCATGCTTGAATAAGGCCATACTATGATTGTGTTTAATTATCTCCCTCCAGCTGTTCCAATACTCACTGCAACTGTTTGATTATGTCCCTTCAACTGAATATCTCCCAGTAACTATTTAATTATCTCTAGGCAACTGTTTAATTATCTCCCTGCAGCTGTTTGATTATCTCCCTGAAACCTTTTGATTATCTCCCTGCATCTGTTTCATTATGTTCCAGCAACTGTTTGATTATGTCCATGCAACTGTTAAATCTCCCTGAACTTATTTGATTATCTCCCTGCACCCTTTTGATTCTCTCCCTTTAACTGTTGTATTATGTTCCAGCAACTACTTGATTAAGTCCCTGCAACTGTTAAATTATCTCCCTGTACATGTTTGATTATCTCCCTGCAACTGCTTGATTATGTTCCAACAACTCTTTAATTATGTCCCTGCAACTGTTAAATTATCTCCCTTTACTTGTCTGATTATCTCCCTCCAATTTTCCGCTGTGTTTCACCAGTTCCGGCCAAAATTTTAAACAACTCATCCACGGACGCCGTGGTGGCCCGTGAGGGGACCACGGTCACGCTGACCTGCAACGTGGACGGCCTGCCCATCCCCAACGTCACGTGGTACCGCATCACGACCACCAGCAAGGGCGAAACGAAAAAGAGTGAGTTCTGCCCTGGCTCAAATAGTAAGGCATTTTCTGGAGTGGGTATTTTGTTTCCCTGCCCGAATGGTGTATGTTGCTTGGTATTTTGCTGTCCTGTTTTTTTGTCATTTATTTGTAAACATACTCTACAAAGTCAACCCATAGTTGTTTTGTTTATTCGTGCCGTGTTTGGTGCTTTTTTTTTGTTAAAAATGACGTATCTAGATGGGGTGGAAGGGGGTGGCGTTCCTAGGTGTCAAATGAATTATGTTTTACGAAAAATTTGATGTAGTTGAAATTATCAGAATATACCAAGATACTTTAACATGGGCCTTGAAATCCTATGCGAAATCAGAGATAATTTAATATTTTTTTTAATATCCTATTTCATATACCGTTCATCACATGTGTCATAATCTGCAAATATTTCTCAAAATAAAATGTTTATAAAGTATACGATCAAACTATAAAATCCTTTTAGCTGCAGTCGGTTAAGAAAATTCTTCTTTGAAAACAGTGTCAAATATGAAGCCACCCTACTAAATTCACGTTATGTACCCATAGACTCCCCACAGGATCTAAGAAATGTTTGTTTACTACCTGCTAGTTGCCACAATTTCTGTTAGTAAAATCCCAGTGCAATAAGGCGAGCCAATATTTTAACTGTAGGGCTTAGACCACAACAAGTTGGCTTTTTTTTAAACGCCACAGCAGGGATGAAATGGGATTTATCCTTAAAACCAATGTGATGTTAATTTGATTATTGCTTGTTTTGAAAATACCCAACAAAGATATTTTTTAATGATCGATTAGTAGACTGGGTTTGAAGTACAGGCGCGGGGCATCAAAATGTCTTTAGCCCTTACAGAAGATTACAGTCGAATTTAGAAGGGAAGAAAATGAATATATATATACGAGCCGGCCCGCGGCATAACATACGCCGCTATTTAGTTGTTTCTAATTTTCAATAATTCATAATTTGTGAATTCGACAGTACCAACGCTGACACTGAAAATATTTCTTTAAAACACTATAAGTAGCTCGTTAAGGACCATAACCCCCCCCCCTTCCTTTTATAATCCCCAAATTCCACGATTTCAGTATATAATTTAGTAAAAGCAGATAAACTATATAATAAACAACTAAATAAAATGTCTTTTGATAATACATTTATAAAAATACTTCCCCGCCTATTGTTGAATTTCATCTTTAGATATTGTTTACTTTATTGAACTGAGTCATTACTGTCTGGACTTTTAAAATTTTAAAACCAAATTAACGCCCCCTGTGATGCCTAAGTGAAGTTCTAGAATAATCCTCATGCATCTTCCAGCTGTCGGGATGAGGGGGGAGGTGCTGATTATCCACAACGTCAGCCGCCATTGTGGGGACACCTACGAGTGCTGGGCCTTCAACGGCGTCCCTCCAGCCATCAGCAAGTACATCAAAGTCAGCGTGGAGTGTAAGTCATCATTTTTTACAAAGTCAGTGTGGAATGTAAGTCATCGTTTTTTTACAAATTCAGCGTGGAATGTAAGTCTTCATTTTTTTCAGTCATCTTAGAATGTAAATCATCATTTTTTTTTTAAAGTCAGCTTGGAATGAAAGACACAAATGTTTTTTTTTTAAATTAAACGCCAAAAGTTTGATAAATCTGGGTTTTTATTTTTTACCCGATTAAAATAAGTCCTCTAGATCTATATCCCGGATGTGATGAAGGACTGAGGATTAAAACGGTGAAAACTCAAAATTTCTTGTGATTTTTGTGCACGATTACAGTACTTTCTCTTCACTCTGTATACGAGAAAGTAAAAAAGTATTTGCTCTTGTGAATTATTTACCCAATGATGGTTTTTGAAAATTATTTAGATAATGTAATAGGATGGTAGTTATAGGGTTAGATAATCGGGTAAGGCGTCCACTCTAGTTGATGATCGAAGATTTTTATCAACGATTTCATATATTCCAGTATGTAGACTATGTTTAGATAAAATTATATAGCCATACTTTTTTAATAATTTTGATACTGTACATATAATTTATGATACAAGAGAAAAATATTATTTAAAGCAAAATACAATTTCCTAATCACGTCACATAAAAACATCATCAGCATGATCATTATAAGTACTCGTATACACACACTTTATCATACGGTCTTATGCTAATCCGTTAGTAATCCTGCACATAAGCTTTATCATACGGCCTCATGCTAATTCATTTGTTATCCAGCACATAAACGTTATCATACAGTCTTATTGCTAATTAATTAGGAATGTTGCACATAAACTTCATCATACACATGTAGGGTAATCCATTTATCCCGCACATAAACTGTATCATAAGATCTTATGCGATTTCGTTAGTAATCCTGCACATAAACTTTATCAGACGATCTTCATATTAAACTTCTGGTATACTTGTAAATAAGCTTGTTTTTACTGTCTTCATCCTACTCAGAGGCGTAGCTAGGGGGAGAGGAAGGGGGGGGGGGGAATGGGGGTAAATATGTACCCGGGCGCCGACCCTAGGTGGCGCCAAAATGGGTTGGAAAAAAAATTATAAGCTCATATTAGCTGCAGTTGTGCATTATAAATATAAAACATATATGGGGGGGGCGCCAAATTGAAAGTTTGTCCCCGGGGCGCCGGCAAGGGTCGCTACGCCTCTGAACCTACTCCGTGAGTATTCCTACACATTCTCGTGATGGTTTTGTCTACAGTTCCACCAGAGATCACGATGCCCAATGTTGCTATCGGCCAAGACCTGGGCAAGGAAACCATTCTAGAGTGCAGCATCACCGCCAACCCGCAACCCGTCGTCACCTGGAAGAAAAATGGCGTCGATATCAAAACAACGGTCAGGGTAAACAGTTTACCAGAAAGCAGACTGAGTTTAAGTTCAAGACAGACAAATGACAGACTAAACGTTTTGGTTTCTGAATAGCTATTTTTTTTTTTTTTTTTTTTTTTTTTTTTTTTTTTTTTTTGAATAGCTATTTGTTGATAACAAAGTTTAGACACACAGTTAATTTAAAATCGAAGAGCCATTTGCTATAACTAGTTAAGAAAATTTTGTCGATTTAAGATTTTAGGGTTTACAGTACAGTAATTACCAAACAATAATTTTAAAATGAATGGTATTATTTTATAACTTTTATCATTGTTACGATTCTTTAAAACATGTATTATTATTACAAAACCAGCATTTGAGCATTTTTAGATTTATCGAGGTTAAAATACAGATGGGCTATGTGATTTTATTATACACCCAGTTGTAGACTCGGTGTTATACGATTTTCCAATACAACTGTCATGTACACAATGCTGTTGAAGAAAATCCTAAAAGAAATGCAGGTTGTCAATGGTCAATCGGCGTCAATGGCCTCAATGCCGCAAAACCTGTACACACGTATATTTTAATTGTGTTGGATGGGGGTCCCTTCCAACACTAAAATTAAGAACGAAGAAGAAGAAGAAAAGTACACAATGATGTATCATAGCCTTATGAAACTTTGCGTACTAATGTTGTGGTTACGATGTTTGTAGACTAAACCTTGCGTTATAAAACTCTGTGTAAAAATGTGTTGTACACAATACTCTAACCATATCGTTATCAAACTTTACTACTCGGCCAGATGAGGCTCGTTAGCTGGGGACAGCCACTCTTCTAGGAGAGACAACTCCAAAATCAAACAACTGCTGCCTTGTAGTTTGTTCTTGGTTGGACAAAGGCTATGGAAGCAGATCCAAAAAGAAAAGCAGGCTGAAATCGGAGTCAATGGCCACAATGGCGCATAAACAGTTGACACACTTTCTTAATTGTGATGGAGAGTGGTCGACTCGGCAAAAAACTCATGGTTGATAAATTCGAAAAAGTCTCGAGCTCAAACCCTCTGGCAGATAAGGCTCGATCACTTCCAACACTAAAAAATTAAGAACGAAGAAGAAGAAGAAGAAACTTTACTAACCAATGTCTTGTGAAAACGCAATATATCCAAGCCCTTATCAAACTTTGCTTTCTAATATCTTGCGACAGGCCGGCAGATACAGGGTCGAGCCCTACCCTGAGACCGAATTCACCATGTCTCTGGGGCTGAAGATCCAGGTCATCGAGCCGGCAGATTTCGGTATATACACGTGTGTGGCGACCAATAAGGTTGGCGCAGACAGCAAGGAAATGCTTCTTTATGGTCAGTTTCTAAACCTGTCGTGTTTTCAATGCCTCTCTCTTTGTTTCTCTCATTACCTGCCACGGTCGTTCTTTCTCAATCTCTCCTTTTTCGCTCCTACCATCTCTTTTAACCGCTCCATTTATCTCTGTATATATTATCTCGATATATGTAGTATCTATAATACTATAATGTCTTCATCTCTCTAATGATATATATATATATATATATATATATATATATATATATATATATATATATATATACAGTGGCGTAGCGAGGTCCCCACGCCCCCCCCTCGCTACTCCTCTGTATGTATATATATATATATATATATATATATATATATATATATATATATATATATATATATATATTTCTTCTCGCTCACATTAAGTATTTATGTACCGCGATTAATTTTCGAGGTAAAACATCAAATTCTTAACTATAATTTTGTTACATTAACTTTTGTTTTAATAACTTGTACCCAAATCTTTGCAATCCTTACTTTATTCCCTGTTTACGTTAACAAAATCAGCATTTCTGCATTTCTCGGTAAATGAGTTTCTGCGATCATTAGTAACGTTTCCTTTCAGATTACACCCTGCGCAGAATGCAAACGAAGGGCCAACAGGCCACTAAAACCACGATCAGCACCACCCTATTGCCCCCCTACCCGGGCACCTACCACCCCAAGGTCAGCCAGAAGGCACCCCACTACGAGGGCTACGAGCAGGAGCAGGAGGACCGTCGGATCACCAAGGTCGTCAAGGACAATCAGCAGTCTGGCACTCACAAGCCGATTGGTTTAGGTAAGTTTGGCAACTCAAAGGCCGATTGGTTTAGGTAAGTCTGGCAACTCAAAGGCCAATTGGTTTAGGTAAGTTTGGGAACTCAAAGGCCGATTGGTTTAGGTAAGTTTGGGAACTCAAAGGTCATTGGTTTAGGTAAGTTGGGGTACTCAAAGGTCATTGGTTTAGGTAAGTTGGGGAACTCAAAGGCCGATTGGTTTAGGTAAGTTTGGGAACTCAAAGGTCATTGGTTTAGGTAAGTTTGGGAACTCAAAGGCCATTGGTTTAGGTAAGTTTGGGAACTCAAAGGTCATTGGTTTAGGTAAGTTGGGGAACTCAAAGGCCGATTGGTTTAGGTAAGTTTGGGAACTCAAAGGCCGATTGGTTTAGGTAAGTTGGGGAACTCAAAGGCCGATTGGTTTAGTTAAGTTTGGGAACTCAAAGGTCATTGGTTTAGGTAAGTTTGGGAACTCAAAGGTCATTGGTTTAGGTAAGTTGGGGAACTCAAAGGCCGATTGGTTTAGGTAAGTTTGGGAACTCAAAGGTCATTGTTTTAGGTAAGTTTGGGAACTCAAAGGCCATTGGTTTAGGTAAGTTTGGGAACTCAAAGGTCATTGGTTTAGGTAAGTTGGGGAACTCAAAGGCCGATTGGTTTAGGTAAGTTTGGGAACTCAAAGGCCGATTGGTTTAGGTAAGTTTGGGAACTCAAAGGCCGATTGGTTTAGTTAAGTTTGGGAACTCAAAGGCAGATTGGTTTAGGTAAGTTTGGGAACTCAAAGGCCGATAGAATTAGGTTAGTTTGGGACAAACGATTGGTAAGTTAGGCACTGCAGGTGCTTAAAAGTCCAGTAGTATGGTTAACCATAGTCCATTTGTTTAGGAAAGTGTTTGTAATGTAGGGTGTTTAAATGTGTGATCACGAGCGTATGATGGTAAAATACGTGCAGACCAAATTTGCATGGAATTGTTACGATGTTAGAAAATGTGTAGATCAGTAACACATTTATATGCGACTGGTATGGTGTGAGGAAATGCGAAAATCACTAGCAAGATTGTTGGCTATTAGTACGGCGTTTGTTTATAAGCAGACCAGTACCACGTTTACAGGCTATTGTTACGCTTTTGGTATATGTGCAAATAAAACATCAGGTTTTCTCGGATGTGATTTTGAAATTTTTAACTTTTTATTGAGCTTTAACTTTTGAAAATCTTGTAATCAATACGTATTAGCTGTTACTACACGTGTGTTATGCATTAAATGGAAGAAATTGACACAACGTTTGAGGGGTCGGCGTGGTCGTGTCGGTAAAGCTCATGGTTGCTAAACCGAAAAGTCTCGAGTTCGAACCCTCGGGCAGATGAGGCTCGTTAGCTGGGGACAGCCACTCTTCTAGGAGAGACAACTCTAAAATTAAAACAACTGCTGCCTTGTAGTTTGTTCTTGGTTGGACAAAGGCTATGGAAGCAAATCCAAAAAGAAAAGCATTCTGTAATCGGAGTCAATGGCCCCGATGGCGCTTAATTGTGTTGGAGGCGTGGTCGAGTCGGCAAAAAGTTCATGGTTGATACATTCGAACAGTCTCGAGTTCAAACCCACTGGCAGATAAATCTCGATCCCCTTCAACACTAATAATTAAGAACGAAGAAGAAGAAGAAGACACAACGTTAATAACAAAAGGCTTGTAAAACTTACTACCCCAAAAAAGATTTTGCCATCCGGAATTTCTCGTATTTGTAAGTCAATTTTTTTTCTTAAGAAGGCAATGATTACAATTTGGGTAAGTTAAATACATACATACAACAGAAAAATGGATTATGTTTCTGATGCCTGTATAGTCACTTATAAAATAACATTCTTGTGGTGTAGTTCATGTTTAGGGTAGCGTTCTTACCTCAAAACCCGAATATATTTGCTGTTTATAAGCATGGGATATCAGGATAAACCTATTTATACCCTACATTTAACGCACATTTTGTATAGAATTATCAGACATCATACTAGGAAGAACAGAAAAATACACGGTTATCAACTCTAAAAAATAACGAGAAACGGACACTCAAGGTACGGGTCTCCTATGAGCACTATGGCGCCTACATTCGTTTTAAAGAGATCCCTACACGAGAAGCTCGGTTGACCTCTACGTTCAATAAATTAACCAAACCAGTGGACGCGCCTGTAGTCCCTACAGTAACTGGTGGATACATAGAGCTCACTGCCACGCCCTTAACACCCGGTGGTCGATGAATGATGTTATACCTCACCATTACGGCGGGTGTTTAGAAACGTAGAACTTTTGGTTAAAGATGAAAATTTCGAATTGTTTTAACATTTAATATTGTTTTTTTAAATAGATAAGACCCTTGTATTGGTTGCACAAGCAGCAGGGAGATAACTCTGTACTAAGTGCCAAAAAAGGCTAAAAATGAAATAAAATTCAAAACAAAGAAAACAAACCAGAAAAATAGTAATGTTAAAAATATTAAAAAGTTACACAAAATGTATTTGCCAGTACGAAAACCGTGTAATACTTAAAATGTATTTTACTAATCTTTTTTTTCCACTACTCAAAATAAAACAAAACCCGTAGCTCTATAACATAGCTAATTTGTAGGACCTGGATGCCTTAATTAAATAGTTGCTCCGTTCCAGGTAGTGACATAACGTTAATTTATTTAAATATTAACATTATATATATATATATATATATTTTAAATATATATATAAAAAAAATTAAATATTAACATAATGTGTTTATAAAGATCATTTTATAAAAATATGTAACTTACCAAAATAATAAAAATCACTATTCGTTTAAAGCAGGGGTCTCCAAACTACGGCCCGCGGGCCGGATGCGGCCCGCGAGGTCCTCTCATCCGGCCCGCCGAGATCTTTTTGTCCACGGAAAAAAAAACGTTTGTTGGAGTTGGCTGAGGAACTTGCCCAGAAAAATCACGACATGCCTGGAAGAAACTGGCCCCCGAACTGAAATTTGATAGTTAATGCGGCCCTCGGACTGAAAAGTTTGGAGACCCCTGGTTTAAAGTTTAAGAGGATTATTCTTGAAATAATAAAGCGGAAGGTATCTCCCATTAACTTTCTAGTATTTCGAATCTAAGATTAAGGTCTGGGGTGGCACATCTGGTGGAATCTGGCTTGCGATAAAACCGATCGGTTTTTAAAACACATTTTAAGGGGAAAAGTTCTTAGGATATAATATTGTACATGATAATACGATATGAAATTACATTCTGGAGGCTTTTGAGAAATGGATAATAGAGTAAAGTGGCTTACTTCTTTCATTTACCGGATATTGTTAAAGAAAAAGAGTATCATCCAATGCAGAGGCGTAGCGAAGGGGGGGCGGGGGGTGCGGACCGCACCGGGTGACACCATTTAGGGGGGTGACACCAAGGCAAAAAATAGCAAAATATATAGAGAAAAACTCGAGGGGGGGGTGCAAATCGAAAGTTTGAGGGGGGGTGCAAATCGAAAACTCGAGGGGGGGGTGCAAATTGAAAGTTTGAGGGGGGTGCAAATCGAAAGTTTGAGGGGAGGTGCAAATCGAAAATTATTTGTCCCCGTGAAGGGTCGCTACGCCTTTGGGGGGGGGGGGGTGACACCATTAAGTGCCGCACCGGGTGACACCCGACCTCGCTACGCCACTGATCCAATGCTAATCGTTCCAATGTCGTCCACCAACTGTTGGGTATTCAGTTTATCGTGTTTATACCCATACACACAAACATTCATACCAAAGTGCAAAACTAGGGTAATTTGCAGTTGCGGCTAAGTTTTTTTAAGGCTGTTTTAGTCGCGTCTATGTTTTAGTTAAGGCGAAGTTTTAGTTAAGGCTAAGTTTTTGTTAAGGAAAAGTTTTTGTTAAGGCGAAGTTTTAGTTAAGGCGAAGTTTTAGTTCAGACTAAATAATTAATAAGTTTGGCAACGGCCACTTTAAGAAACTAGGCATGCTGCCCAGCTTCGCTTAGGCTTTCGAAAACATTGAGAATTTGAATGCTTAATTAATTCGCCCATATAAGGCGCCGGTCAGTTGAGGTCAGTTTTGACCCCCTCATCGTAGACTTTTCGGCCAACCGGCCCTCGTGTTCTGTCGCCCCAAGGCAAGATCCAGCCAAATTTGAAGCGCCTGCGGCGCCGGGAAGTGCCCTATCGGGCACCCGACAACTTAGCTTTATAGATCATCTAGATCTAGATCTAGAATCTCTAGATCTATATGATCTAGAATCTCTAGATCTAGATGATCTAAAATATCTAGATCTAGATCAATATCTAGATCTAGAATCTCTAGATCTAGAATCCAAATAGTTGAAATAATTTTTTTAAGTTTAGGCCGAGAAAATCGTATTGTATACATTTCATAGCGTACATAGCTCTAAATCTTATTTGAATGAAATAGTTCATTTCTTTTTATTCTGAACTCGGAAGATGACGTCATCAGTTTCGTGCTCTTTTTTTTAGTGTAAACAATAAGCGACGTCATTGTTAAATGCGTTCTTGTCTCAAGTTTATATACACTTTTCCGGTTGCATAAATAATACTGTTTCTTTACATTGGAATACGCCTTTATTTTTTATTTTTCTTCTTTAAATAATTTTGTGGTTATACATTTAAAACATCTAACATATTTTTTTCAACAAAAGTCCGTATAAAGGTATCCATATATCGCTGCCGATTCTGACGTGATGTCCGGCGAAAATATTTTGCGGACAGAGAGAAGTGCGCACATGGGGAATTATATATTAGGATATACAATTTCTAGTTTTTAACATCTGAAACACACGAACAGACTATACACATTATAAAGAAATTATCTGGCGTTTTAAACAAAAGGAATTTTTTAGTTGCATTGTTTACATTATACAGGAGTCACGGAATACTTTAACTAAAAAGAGTTTGATTATTTACGTAGTATAGAAGTTATTAATTTTTTATACATTGTATACAAGTTACTAATTTTTATACATAGTATAGAAGTTACCAAATTATTTATACACCGTATAGAAGTTACCAAATGCTTAAAATATAAAAAGTATACGTTAGATTGTTTAAATGATATAGAAGTTACCACATGCTTTGAATATAAAAATTATTCGTTCGTTTGTTTAAATTATATAGAAGTTACCAAATATTGTATACACCATATAGAAGTTACTAAATGTTTAAAATATAAAAAATTTCGTTATATTGTTTAAATTATATAGAAGTTAACAATTGTTTTATACATGATATGGAATTTACCACATGCTTTAAATATATAAAATAAATATTTGTTAGATTGTTTACAATATATTGAAGTTACAGAATACGTTGACTAATGTGGATGTGTTCGTTAGATTACACACATTGTAATGATAGAGGTTAACTAAAACCATTGTGTTTGATCTTTTAGGTGTGCCCTCGACAGAAAACAAGGGAACTGCCCTGATTGGCTGGCTGAGCACGTGTCTTCTCTGTGTTCTCGTCAACCTCTCGTTGGTCCGTGATGTCCTCTTCTTGAATGGCCGGGATTACACATTGTGATAGCGAGCTTTGTTTGTGAATGTGTCAAAACCACATGTAAACCACATCAACGTAGGAAATTACTCGGCTTCGTATTTTGGTTTAGGTTATCACGTGTATTTTAGGTAGAGTGGACAGCGAGTTAAGCGCATAAAGTTTGGATAATGTTCATAACTCACAACACGCCATAACCCCTGGGTTATTTTTGCAATTTACCACACGTCATTATCTGGGGTATGTTCGCAGTTTACCACACGTCATTATCTGTGTTATGTTCGGAGACTTACGAATTGTACAAAGACCTTTGAGTCTAGTTCCAGGTACCAATACATTGGCATGTGTTGTCTAGGAATACTGGCATTTCGCAGAAGAGAAGTCTTGGAAAACTTGACTGAATTCACAGAAAAAACAAAGTATTACATGGTATCCTGTCAAGCTCGTATTTTGCTATTTTTCAACTCTATTTTTTAAAACAACAGCACATAAGACGATTGAACAACGTGGATGTGATTTCAATACATTAATGGCTTTCAAGCACAATATAACAATAGGAGGTGTGTTGTTGTTCTAACTATAACGACGTCAACACACTCTCATTATTGTTTTACCTATGATGTCGTCAAGAGAATCAATTAATGAATGTGTTACATACAATTGCGTCAAAAGAAATCTTTTATGAATATTCCACTAAGGATGACATACACAGTTGCAACCGCTGATCGTTTTAACCGTGATGATGACATAAAATACGTAACATCAACCTGAAGAGAAATGTCTATCCTGTTCTAAACTAACTCAGCTCACTCATTATGTGATTCTTCAATGTGTTAATCCGTGTGCTCAAGGCCATACACATAATCAACAGGATGTGGACATCAATCCCTGTGTTTCTATGTGTTACACTCTAGACAATGAGTGTGTGTACAGATAAAGGCATATGTGTTTTTGGATTATACACTATTTTAATCTTGCGATCCTTGACTAACATGTGCATAGCATGTGTGATTATATATTTTGCTGTGTATGTAACGTTTTCATATTTAAAATATAATGTATATGCAAACATATTCACTATGTAAACATATATATATATGTATATATATATATATATATATATATATATATATATATATATATATATATATATATATATATATATATATATATATATATATATATATATATATATATATATATACAGGTATACCTACATAAGCTGTTTTGTATTTTGTGTTACTTCCACCGCCCTATACCCACCACTTACTTCACGACAAAATAACTGCTTTACTATAAACGGTTGGGCCTCGTCAACCTTAATGGCTTGGTTCGTAGCGATGACGTCATAAGCTCATGAAACCTCATTATCTCATCAAATTAACATCTCACTGTGTACCTGTTACCCCATTTCCTGTCGGCAGTGCTGTACAATCCTCCCTCTCCCCCTTAATTTTCCCCTCTCCCAATCCCAGCAGTCTCAGACTCTCCAATCTTTCTTTATTGACAGTGTTTCGTACTTTTGACCTTCGTGGGCTCCATGTTAATTATGTATCAAACATACAGTATTACATTTGTTGACTGAATCTTACATGTATGTGATAGATATTGCAAGTGTCTCTAGATATATTATCTATACATGTAAGTATTAGGTTTTATGCATACATATATATATGTGTATAGATAAGTATATCATATATATATATATATATATATATATATATATATATATATATATATATATATATATATATATATATATATATATATATATATATATATATATATATATATATATATATATATATATATATATATATTTATAAATAAATAAATAAATATATATATATATATATATATATATATATATATATATCATTCTTTTCGCCCAAGTTAGTGTTCGCGCATTTACGCAGTGTAGACATATTTCAGAAGCAATGCAATGCATTGTACAGCAGTAAAGAGATGCATCATTATACTTTAAAAATCTTTCCCTAAATCCTCACAGCAAGTTTCATATATAAATTACTATAATTGTGAGATACGTAAATCACTTTCAATGGGAAATTAATCGATTGGTCGTCTCAATAAAAAAATAATCTGGTAAGCAAACTAGTGTGTTTGATTCTGCTAATGATATCCTTTCCTAAATGAACGTACCGGCTTCTGATACATTCCTAGGTGATGTTCTCGTAGAGTCTGGCTGTGGGACTTATAAACTGTGTTGGGTTTTTATTCCATTAGCTAGCGTTGTTTTTTAACTGCCCAGAATGTAGAGGGAACAATATATTTTGGTGACACAATGATTACCACTATCGTTGGCAAATGTGTCTATTAAGAAGATGTGTATATAATGTGTAGGCATCGTAACTATTTAAACATTTTTTTTCTTACGATAATTTACATTTTATCTATTTGTTTTGTACACATTTAAAAAGAAAATAAGCATTTTTACGATCAAAATTTACATGTTTCAAACATTTTTTTTTTTAGAATTGGCTATTAGAATTCTACACATTTTTAGTTGTTGTTTTTTTTATAGATCTATATGGTAATGATGAATGTATTTTGCCACCACCTTACATCAGTTGATAAAAACTTATTTGTATATGTGTTAAACGGCAAGTATGCGTGTTCGTGAGTGAATGCTTGTGTGTGTGTGTGAATTCGGATACATGAATGATGCAATCTATTTATATCTTGCCATGTTATTATTTATTTCTTTGTGTTGTTTGTTCTCAATAGAACGTTTGCATATTAACAAGAGAGGGGGTGTTATTCAACAATGTCCAAGGATTGGCTCTGTAAACATTTGTATGAAAAACTGTTGGATTCCCCACCATAAATTTGATTTCACTGCGGGAAATGACGTTTATTGTTCTCACCGGAAGTGGCTAAATGAAGAACAGTTTCGTCTCATTTTGAGCGCGGAACATGGACGTTGATTTATGATGATTCTCGTGTCTTGTTTACTTTTTATCTCCCTTGCTTCGAAAAATTGTGACGATATTTTGTTTCGTATTAATAGATCGTAGACTTTTATAAATTATAATATTTTTTTTCAATTTATAATGATCTGTACTTATAATTTTATTAAAATGGCGACAGTAGTTTGAGCAGAATTTGAGTGTTTGATATATTTCTCTGCAAAATGTATGTATTCATTATTAAGTATAAGATAGAAGGAGAAAAAAATGAAAAGTTCATACCAGACTACACTAGTTCAAAAGTAAATATCAAGCTGTATTTAGAGAAACTTAACTATTGGAGGAGTTATTTATAAGTAAACATTACTTTAAGCACTCTCAAAAAAGTATAGACAAATAAGTAAAAATATGTTGTTCTTTCATCCGAATTGTTTTTATATTAATGAATATATATATATATATATATATATATATATATATATATATATATATATATATATATATATATATATATATATATATATATATATATATATATATATATATGAAGAGTTTATTTTCAAAACGCGATAAGCGCCATTTTTGAAAAAAATGAGATAACGTGCCCATATTGTAGAGCTACTCAGTTACTATTAGGAAAACTTAATTTTAATCTTCACGGCCCAAAATTGTTATTTTATTTTTATTTTTTAAAAACAGTTTTAACATATTGTACAATGGCTTTGTGCAGGAGAAAAGTGCGATTTTCTCAAAACCAAAATTTTGGATATATTGCATTTTGAAAATAAACTCTTCATATATATATATATATATATACATATATATATATATATAGCGAACACAGCACAAGACGGCTGAATGATTACAGTCCACACAAATCTATGCGATACACAACTGTTTTCATCACGTGCATGCTTTATCTCTACAACATTCTATACATAAAGTTTCAGCACACAGTCAGTAGACAAGAGCGCTTGTCTGGTCAATCTTACAAAGGCTGGAGCTAAGTGACTGCACTAACCATAGAACCCCTGTCGTTATGAAATCTCACATGTGATTAAAAACGTATTAAGCCAAACAGTGTGTTCCCCTCTCTGGAAATGTAATGGAATTTTATATAGAAAACATATTTTTACCATTCAGCCCCCCCCCCCCCCGAAAAAAGTCTGAAAGAAACACAGGTACTGATGGCAATACATCGTATAGTTTCTGTTGTTAATACCAGATAAGAGATAACTCTTTTTATTGTACACAATATATCTCCACTAGATAACGATGTTTGATTGTTTTTTTCTTGGTTTATTTCTGAAAATAAAATGTTTTTTCTTTAAACAAAATAGTGTGTTGTTTTATTTGTTTGTATGCTTAGATTGAGTCTTAATGCAGTGTTTTGTAGTGTTGGTACTTATTTCCGGTTTACGGTCCGGTTCGGTTTTTTAAAGCCGTTGGGAGTGGGGAAGGGGATGGGGATAGTTGTTTGTTTTTTAATGAGGTGTTCAATGATTCGAGGCGGTTAAATCCGGATGGGGAGAGGGGAGGCATACACATGTGTTGTGTAGTTCATATACGGGTATATCAAACAGGAATTCACGTGTTAAACCATAAATGAACTTTAAAAAACTAAGTAGATGTATATAAGCTGACATGATCGTCCAAATAGAGGTTTTGTTTTTTTTATTTACTAGCTTAGAATTTTAGTTAATAAAAATATTTTTTTAGAAAACGATAATATTTCGAAATAGCCTTTTCATAATATAACATTTGATATAACCAGCATTGTCACCATAAAATATTTGCAAATACGTGCCTTTTCACCATATACATAGCGTATCTCACTATTTTTTTAGTATATCCCTTCACATTATATTATATTTACTCGCCGCGACCCTCCTGCCCTCGCCCCCCCCCCCCCCAACCCAGTGCACATCCACTCTGTTATAGTACATAAAATCCTTCTCTCCTCTAAATCAACACGAGTAAACCCGTCTATCACCGTCTTCTTGCTTATCCGGGCAGGTAATATGAATAGAGATCTATAAATACCTTTGACATGAATAGGAAACACAGGAATATTAAAAACAAACAGCCCAGCAGTAATACTACACAGCACATAGGCACACATCACAATAATGTGTTTCCCTCTCTTTACCTAACTCTTTAATCTAACAACGTTTCAGTTACTCAAAAACCACACGGAACAGCTTCTGACAAAGTTTAACTAAAATGTATTTTTTTTTAAAATCCTAACGTCGTCGCTAGAACCACTCCAACGACGACCCAACCCAGGCATCGGCGACCTACTGGCCAGTGTCTCATTACTTTGTAGCACCCTATCATGTGACCCGGGGTCGTTGAATTGTAAAATTGATTTGTGGTTCATTGACCACGGGGTTCATTTCCGAGTGGCGACCGGCGCAGGACCGGCGCGCTCATGTTTCCAGTAAATTTAGGCCGGCAGCCGGATTGTTCAGTGGAACAGAATTAATGGATCGTGGCTAATTAATTTACGCGTTAAAAAGTTGATCAGCTAAGGCAGTGTATTTCAGGGAGGTGGGGAGTGAATTAGTGTTTGAGTATCAAATTTTTTTTAATCTAAAGAAAACACATGTAAAATGTGTAAGCAGATAAGTAAATATGTTAGAAGTGTAAGCTGGAAAAGGGGATGTAATCAGGTGAATACGTATTTAGCCAATCTAATTTAAATTACGTGTAAGGATTTAATTTTGAAAAGGTCTATCATCATAACCATGAAGAGGCAATCACATGCACACACAAAATTTCACAAATCGTTATTATTAAAAAAAATTATTTTCTTTTTTGGTGTCATGTATAAAACATAACTTATGCACAATGTATAATGCACAATGTAATATGAAGAACAAAGTAAAACCTAATCTACAAAACATGTACATAAAAGCAACATTTTTAAAATGCTATATTAAAAACAAGACAGGGCAACGTTTTATACGATATTCCGACCTTTTCTAAACAAAATAGACTTGTATACACTTCAAAAATCAAAACTATACCTCTACCAGCATAAAAATCCCATTACCTAAACTGTAATTAGTTTTTTTTTAACTTCAATTCACAAAAAAAAGGAAGCCACATTTTTACACTCAGAACATGACGTCACAGTGTCTAAATTTTGTATCACTTTAAACTAAACAGACAAAACAAAAAACATTCTGAGATTATGTTAC